GGAAGCTGCAGCATCTCAAGACATTCCACACACAGCCCCTTTTCAGAGCTGGAAAAACGGTATAATCAAGCAATATCCATGCAGTGCAATTTCCAACAAAAGCATTTCTGAATAGCAAATGAACAATTATGGATCAACCGATGGCGCTCTTCCACAAAGCATGCAGGGGGGAAAAAAACCAATGCATCACATTTGTAATTATTTCTACGCTGCTGCTTCCTGACAGCTATTCCTGAATTCCTCCTCCGGAGCGTTGGAGGTCAGTCGCCTCCACTACGTTTCCCCCCCTACAAACACGCAATCCTGGCTACACTTCATACTCTACAGTTTCTAACACGGCTACACTTAGAAATACACCACGGAATTCATTACACATACTTTATAGTTCAAAAGCATTCAGGCACGAGCCATAGAGAACACATCACGCACAATACACTACATTTTCTGGTTTGCATTCAGCTCGGTTAAATTAAGTCAACAATATTTGCTACCTCTTTATCATACAGCTCCGTGCCCTCCCCCTCTTTTTTCTTCTAAGATATGTTCCCCAAGCCTGGCATTCTGGCAAATGACCTTTCTGCTTGTTTCTTAACTATCTCCAAAAATGTATATTTTACTATTTAGGGGGGAAGAAAAAATATCTCATAATCTAGAGAGAGAAGAAAAAGAAGAATCATTGACAATTTTGAAAAGTTTTCAGGGCTCCTTTCTCAAATGTCTCCAAACCAAGCAGGTCCCTGGCCTTCTGTCCATCCCTTGTGGTCTTTCAATGTTGTTGGTGCAATTTCAAAAACTAATTGGTACTTTTTAATTGCCAAACAGCAATTAAATATAATGGGCCACATTCTAATTGTCAGTCTCTGCTCAACGAGAGCCAATGAATTACTGGGATCTTGACAAATCAATGCTTAGGTAACTTCTAGCAATTCAATGGATCTAACTCGGGCATGGGCAAACTTGGGCCCTCCGAGTGTTTTGGACTTCAACTCCCATAATTCCCAACAACCTTAGGTCCTTTCTTTAAGTGGCTGAGGGGGAAAAAGAAAGGGCTTGGGAGGTCTAACTGTGCTTTGGTCTTACCTATGCCAGCTTTTTCCATTTTAGTCCAGTTACTATTGTTGGCTAATCTAGTTCCAGAACTTGGTGTAGTTCCCGGGCTGGACACACAGCCTTGCTTTAGCATCCTCTTTATTGGTAGCAAAGACCTCATCACACTAGAGAATGAATCCACTTTAAATCTGGTTTCTGCCTTTTGCAGAATTCTGGAGTTTGTAGTTTAGCGAGGCTGTTAAATGGGTTGTTATAGGTTTTTCCGGGCTATATGGCCATGTTCTGGAGGCAATTTTTCTCCTGACGTTTCACCTGCATCTATGGCAAGCATCCTCAGAGGTAGTGAGGATGCTTGCCATAGATGCAGGCGAAACGTCAGGAGAAAAAATGCCTCCAGAACATGGTCATATAGCCCGGAAAACCCTACAACAACCCAGTGATTCCGGCCATGAAAGCCTTCGACAATACATTGAGGCTGTTAAAGATTGTATTGTCGAAGGCTTTCATGGCCGGAATCACTGGGTTGTTGTAGGTTTTTTCGAGCTGTATGGCCATGGTCTAGAGGCATTCTCTCCTGCCATAGATGCAGGCAAAACATCAGGAGAGAATGCCTCTAGACAATGGCCATACAGCCCGAAAAAACCTACAACAACCCACTGTTAAAGATTCCTCCCTAAACTACAAACCCCAGAATTCTGCAGGAGGCAGAAACCGGATTTAAAGTGGATTCATTCTCTATAGTGATAAAGTCCTATAAGTGACAAAGCAGATGATACACAGCAAAGCAGTATTCTGAACTTTTTTGTGTTGATGGTGACCAAAGACTCCCGTGCCCATTTTTGGCTCGCTTTAAAGAAACACTCTAAGTTTGGGAAGGTTGTACTAAAAGTAATACCTGTTCAGGTCAGCCCTTCTTTATTAGCAGTGCAAGACATAAGCAGCTATATACACATGTGAAGTATCAACTTGTCTACAAAGTGTGCAAAGTAACTCTATGTTTACAACATGGGACTTCTCAAAATGGTCTCTGCCAGTGGCAATGCATTTGTGATGCCTTTGAACCCATTCATGGAATCATGGAACCCTATTCTGCCATGTAGCATCACTCAATCCAAACAGTCCTGACAGATGGACATCAACAACATTCCCAGGCAGCAGTATATTGGAACAACTCTTAAAACAACAACAATAATGCTGATACGATATGAGTATTTAAAGATTAAACTGCAAAGACTCTGGCACAAGCCAGTCAAGTTGGTCCCAGTGGTGATCAACACACTGGGTGCAGTGCCTAAAGACCTTGGCCTGCACTTAAACACAATCAGTGCTGACAAAATTACCATCTGCCAGCTGCAGAAGGCCACCTTACTAGGATTTGCACACATTATTCGCCGATACATCACTAAGTCTTAGACACTTGGGAACTGTCCAAGCCAGTAGAATGACCTTGTCTGCTGTGTACTCATCTTGTTGTGTTTCTAATAATAATAATAATAATAATAATAATAATAATAATAATAATAAGGCCACCTTACTGGGATCTGCACACATTATTTTCTGATACATCACACAGTCCTAGACACTTGGGAAGTGTCCAATGTGTGATCCAATACAACAGCCAGCATAATGATCTTGTTTGCTGTGTACTAATCTTGTGGTGTTTCAAATCATCATCATCATCATCATCATCATCATCATCATCTGCAAATACTATGGCACAAGCCAATAAAGGTGGTCCCAGTGGTGATCAGCACACTGGGTGCAGTGCCCAAAGACCTTGGCCTGCACTTAAAAACAATCACTACTGACAAAATTACCATCTGTCATGTGCAAAAGGTCACACTACTTGGATCTGAATGCATTATTCACCGATACATCACACAGTCCTAGACACCTGGGAAGTGTCTGACGTGTGATCAAATACAAAAGCCAACATAGTGATCTTGTTTGCTGTGTACTAATCTTGTTGTGTTTCAAATGATGATGATGATGATGATGATGATGATGATGATAAAACAAAACTTTATCTGTAACCTGCCCTCTCTCACCAAAAGGACCTACCATTGGGAGGTTCTTTGCAAAGTTTAGGTGGAATCTCATTTCCTGTAATTTGAATCCATTGCTTCGAGTCCTAATCTCTAAAGCAGCATAAAATGAGCTTGTTCCCTCCTCAATATGGGATCCTTCCAAATATCTAAACATGGATATTATGTCTCCTTCTCTCGGCCTTCTTTTTTTCCAACATCCCCAGCTCCCTCAGCCACTCCACATAGGGCTTGGTTTCCAGACTTTTGACCATTTTGGCCACCCTTCTCTGGACACCTTCCAGCTTGTCATCAAATCCACTTTGGAAAAACGCTTTTAAGATTTTCTGCTTGAGCATCTTGCACTATCTTCATCATTCATTCACCATTACCAAGGAGTTCCCGGTGGTGCAATGGGTTAAACAGGTCACTGGTTCAAATCCAGGGAGAGTGGGTTGAGCACCCTCTGTCAGCTTCAGCTCCTCATGCAGGGGCACGAAATAAGCCTCTCACAAGGATGATAAAACATCAAAACATCTGGGCGCCCCCTGGGAAACATCCTTGCAGACAGCCAATTGTATCATACCAGAAGTGACTTGCAGTTTCTCAAGTCGCTCCTGACATGACAAAAAAAAAAAAAATCAGAACACTGGATCAAAGAGTCTCAAAGAAAGTTTTTCCAAAGTGGATTTGTTGAGTAGGTTCAAAGATGGTACAAATGCATTGGACACTGGGAGATTTGTTAAATAATAGTGCCCAATACTGAGAGGCTGAGAGGAGATATGATAGCCATGTATAAATACGTGAGAGGAAGCCACAGGGAGGAGGGAGCAAGCTTGTTTTCTGCTTCCTTGGAGACTAGGACGCAGAACAATGGCTTCAAACTACAAGAGAGGAACATTAGGAAGAACTTCCTGACTGTGAGAGCCGTTCAGCAGTGGAACTCTCTGCCCCAGTGGGAGTGTGGTGGAGGCTCCTTCTTTGGAAGCTTTTAAACAGAGGCTGCATGGCCATCTGTCAGGGGTGATTTGAATGCAATAGTCTTGCTTCTTGGCTGGGGGTTGGACTGGATGGCCCATGAGGTCTCTTCCAACTCTTTGATTCGATGATTCGATGATTCTATGAAAACATCTGGGCGTCTCCTGGGAAACGTCCTTGCAGACAGCCAATTCTCTCATACCAGAAATGACTTGCAGTTTCTCAAGTCGCTCCTGACATGACAAAAATCAGACACTGGATCAAAGAGTCTCAAATAAAGTTTTTCCAAAGTGGATTTGTTGAGTAGGTTCAAAAATGGTACAAATGCATTGGCCACTGGGAGATTTGTTAAATAATAGTACCCAATATTGTAAACACAGAGTTACTTTATATATGTATTTAGCTGCACATGTCTCATGTTGTTAATATGACTCTCATATTTGGGATAACGAGAATGCCTTCAAAGCCAGGACTGAAGCATGGAGTGGATTTGCAGCTCTCCGGGACATGGGAACCACCACCAACAGTGCTCTGCTGGAATTTAACTTGGCTGACGCTTCTGGAAGTATCATTCTGACAACATCCCTGGCATGGGTCTAAGTGAGCTGAAATCCCTTCCTTCCCGTCTGCCTCCATCCCTTTCCTAATAATCCCTACAGTGCACATTGAACAGAAAAGCCCTGTAATCCGCAACGCTTCGTTCCTGCCTCACTTTCCTTTTCTGACGCCTTTCTCTGTTTCCAACTCCCTGAAACTCGGCTTCCTAATCCTCCTTAAAAACCAGAGCTTCTAATACAATCAGAACACAAGCAGATTAGAAGCCTCTAATTAATTTTGTGGCCTTTATTTTCACAAAGAAAAAAAAAGAACTAAAAAAGGGGGAGAGTGGGGCGAGAAAGAGAAACAGAGAGAGAGAGAGAGAGAGCAATTAAGTGCAGTGAAATTTACTCTTTCGCCTCGGCCAGTTTATTGTTCATCTCTTTGCTCTTCTCCTTGTCCTCGGCCGCCACGTTCGCTCCGCCTGAGCCCTCGGCGCTCTTCTTCTTCGATGCCCGGCTGGACGCCACTTGCTTATCTTTGGCCTTTTTCAGCGGTTTATGGCTTGTGGTCGTCTTTTTTGGTTTGGAAGGCTGCGGGCTCGGCTTCTCCACCTGCGACCGACAAGCCGCCGAGGGAAAAAGAGAGAGATACGTACAACACACAAGGAGAGGCGGGGAGGGAAGGGAAAGGGAGGTTTAGAGAGGAATGGCCAAGCAGCAGAAGGCGGTCATTTGTATGACATGTATGTGGAGTAGTTCGGAGGTTCATGTAAGTCAGGAATGGACAAGGTAGGGCCATCTGTGAGGCCTTATGAGATTGCGTTAGGTCTCCAATGGGTTGTTGTAGGTTTTTTCAGGCTGTATGGCCATGGTCTAGAGGCATTCTCTCCTGACGTTTTGCCTGACGTTTTGCCTGCATAATAGAATTGGGCCAAAATTCTCACACAGAATCCCCATGACCAACAGAAAATACTGTGTATTGTCGAAGGCTTTCATGGCCGGAATCACTGGGTTGTTGTAGGTTTTTTGGGCTATATGGCCATGTTCTAGAAGCATTCTCTCCTGATGGTTTACTTGCATCTATGGGAGGCATCCTCAGAGGTTGTGAGGTCTGTTGGAAACCAGGAAATTGGGTTTATATAGTTGTGGAATGTCAAGGGTGGGACATTTAACAAGCCACACCTAAAAACTGTCAGGCCATCAAATGCTAAGACAATCCTTCACCCCCCCCACAACCCCCCCCCCCCCCCACCCAGGGGTCCTAACCTCCAGGTTGAGAAAGGCTGCACTAAGAGAACGTTGGATTGAGGTCTTTATTGCTATTTAAATGGCATTGAATGGCTGTAGGCCTCCATGGGTTCATTTACACCAACTAAACTACCAGAGCTCAATGCTATAATAGTATAGGAGTTATCATTTCCCAAGGCCTTTCCCTTTCTCTACAAGAAAAGTGCTGGAATGTCACCAAACTACAACTCCCAGGATGCCATAGCATTGAACCACAGCTTTCTAAAGTGTTGTCCAACTGCATTAATTCAACAGTAGAGATGATGATGATGATGATGATGATGATGATGATGATGATGATGACTGGGTTGTTGTAGGTTTTTTCGGGCTATGGCCATGTTCTAGAGGCATTCTCTCCTGACGTTTTGCCTGCATCTATGGCAAGCATCCTCAAAGGTATTGAGGTCTGTTGGAAACTAGGAAAAAAAGGGTTTATATATCTGTGGAATGACCAGGGTGGGACAGAGGACTCTTGTCTGCTGGAGCTAGGTGTGAATGTTTCAACTGACCACCTTATTAGCATTTGATGGCTGTGCCTGGAGCAAACTTTTGTTGAGAGGTAATTGAGAGAATGCCTCTAGACCATGGCCATGCAGCCCGAAAAAACCTACAACAACCCAGTGATTCCGGCCATGAAAGCCTTCGACAATACATTGATCATCTCTACAAGGAGAAACTGTTCCTCTCCAGACCATGGTTTTTCTTTCAAAGTGACCTCTCTGTATGGGAGGCATTTCCATCAATTTTGGGGGCAATTTAAAATTAGTTGCATCAAAAGTGGCCTTTTTTGAGATAGTATAGTCCAGAGTTCTGGTCACGATTGATACTAGATAGCTGAACCCACCTAAAACCTAGGAAGGCAATCCCTTTGCAAGACCAAAGGAGAGTGTGGATGTGACCCTTAGTGGCCCATATCGATCTTCCTGATCCTGCAGTGACTCACAATTCCACTTATGCAAAAGTAGGCAATCTACAAGTTTTACACATGTGTTGCTCCCCACATTTGCTCCTCATAATTCTGCATTCCACTCTTTACATTTCCCAGTGCATTGCAGAATTGCAACAGCAAAATAAAATTACAATTACTGTAGATAGGAACGTCATTTTCCTTTAAAGCAGTAATTCCCAATCTTTTTTTGACCAGGGACCACTTCGACCAGGGACCACTCTCCAACATTAGTACCAAAAGGGTTACGAATCAGTATTTGGTCAACTTTAGATTTGGTTTGGTTATTTGGGGGGGGGGGGGGGCTAATTCAGAAAATTGCATTGGATAGACCACGTCAGCTCTAGTTTCTGATATAGAACATATGTCATCCAGTAGTTGCCATCTGCTCGCCCATAAAAAGCCATATTGAATAAGCCTTCACACTATAAGAGAGTTTCGTGAGACCAGTTGCTCTCATTGCAACGGTGTAGGCTGCGGACCATATTTTAGTTCTTGAGGACCACTGGTTGGGAACATACGTCATCCAGTAGTCACCATCTGCTTGCCCACAGAAAACCATATTTAATAATCTAGAGCTGATGTGGTCATAGTAAACTTTCGTGGATAGTCAACATCCCTGTTGCCTCGGCACTATAAGAGGATTTTGCATGACAAAGTGGACTCCATGACATGCAAGTGTGGAGAAAAGCAAACCATAGACCACCTGCTACAATGCAACCTGAGCATTGCCACATGCACAATGGAGGACCTTCTCACAGTGGCACCAGAGGCACTCCAAGTGGTCAGCTTCTGGTCAAAGGAAATTTAGCATAATGCCAAGTTTTTAAAACTTTGTGTTTTTAAATGCATTTTAACTATACCCTCAACTTGCTTCTGACACAAATAAATATAAATCCCTGTTACCTCAGCACTATAAGAGGGTTTTGCAAAATTAGTTGCTACTGTTGCTGCATGGTTTCGAGGCAATGGTGTAGTAATGGTGAGACCATGGATCATATTTTAATTGGGTTGTTGTAGGTTTTTTCAGGCTATATGGCCATGGTCTGGAGGCATTCTCTCATGACATTTCGCCTGCATCTATGGCAAGCATCCTCAGAGGTAGTGAGGTGACTACCATACTGTGGATGCTTGCCATAGATGCAGGCGAAATGTCAGGAGAGAATGCCTCTAGAACATGGCCATATAGCCCCAAAAAACCTACAACAACCCAGTGATTCCGGCCATGAAAGCCTTCGACAATACATATTTTAATTCTTCTGGACCACTGGTGGTCCATGGGCCACAGTTTGAGAACCACTGCTTTAAAGCATGACACACCCTGAACTCCTGCCTTTGTTTTGAACCTGCACTCCCCTTAGCAGATGACTCCTGGAAAACCCTTCCAGAAATGAGGTCCAGCTCCCAAAAATGCTTCTTGGAAGTAAGGTTTATCCTTTAGAAATGCCTTCCAAAATGATGTTTTGGCCCCCAGAAAAAAGGACTCTAAGCTTTGTCTTCAAACAAGAAACTCCTGCAAAAAAAAAAACCTTCCTAAAAACATGACTTGCCTTTCAGGAAACACTCCCAAAGTATGGTTTGGTTTCAGAACATGGTGACCTACAGAGTGAAGAGTGAACCATTCATTCCCTTTGACACAGAACAGATGCATTGACCTACTTTAAACAACCCATATTGAGGAAGAAGTGAGTTCCTTCCTGAACATAGCCTCTTTCGTTTCATATTTTTAGCCAAAATAATAATGCCATAGACAGATAATCTCTTCCCCTATTTCTCCATCTTACTCACCCTCGTTGTTTCCTTGTAGGGCTCGCTGTAGAGGCTGCGTATCCTCCTGTGTTCGAGGAATTTGTTATCCGATGGCCCGGGCTTGGCACCTTCTGCAGTGAACTGGGCACTGTAGCTTGTTTGGTGAAGCATCTTCTCTGCTGGAGGTTTGTACTGCGGCTTCGCCTTGATGGGTTTTGCCGGCTTGCTATCTGTCCAGGGTCGGAATTCATTTCTGGAGAAAGGAAGGATTGGTGAGAATGCAGAATTGAAAATAGAAATAGAGGGGAAGGAAAACCTTAAGATTGGGGGAGATGAGGTTGCATTCCACTAGTAACCAGGCAAAATATTGACAAAGGGTCTGCTGATGTACATAAGGTTGCCAGGTAACCTATGGTTCAGATAGAGGTGCCCGGAAATCAGTGAGGGACTAGATTGGGAATTGGGTTGCTGGCTGAACTCAAAGGGTGCTTCCCAATGGCCTCTCTTCTCAATCCTGGAGAGAAGTGATTAGTGGGGTTGTGCTGGTATGGCTGTACCAAAAGCTCCAACTTCCTTTTCTTTCTTTGAGTGTTTGCATGTATTCCAAAGTTCCATGCATTTTGCAATAAGGTGGCTTCCCTTGGTTTACAATTATAGGGCCTATGACCCATCAATCATTGTTAAGTTTTGCTTCCACCCCTTTCGCCAGGGCTCTGGGAGGAGAGAGAGCTATTTTTGCTTAGTCTTGCATTGGAAAGCTTAGCTACAGGACATGGATTAGCTCCACCTGTAGAGAAGCTTCGTTTCTCACAGCATCCGGGGGAAACTGCATCCGGGGGAAATTCTAAGGGAAAACAGTTCCAAAGGACTCCAGCTGGAGAATCTACAAAGCCTTGACTGGTAGGTCTACTCAGGACCCAAGAAGCAGTTTGGAGCCAGGAGTAGAGCCCACACCAGCAAAGTTTAGAAAGTAGATTGCCCAAGCAGGGGTTAAAAGGGGTTTTCCTCTTAAAGAAAAGAAACAGTTCACAAAGCCAGTTGCCTATCTCTTGTGGACAAAATGAAGAAAGCCACCAGTTGATTCAATGCCTTGAAGCATTTGTTTAATTTGTTGAAGATCTAAGAAGTATTTGATTGTTTGTTGAAGACTTAAGCAATAATAAAGGACTTTGTTAAACCTTTCAAGCTTCTAAAGACTCTGTATAGGAAAATCCTTAGGGCCTCTCACTCGAGGCACCCCGGCTTCCCGCTGGCCACAAAGAGCACGTCCTGTTCAAAAGCCAACTGCTATAGGCCCAGCACATGACAACACAAGGGTGTTTGATCTGGGATTTGGCTTGGTCATATCTCATATCTCATTGCATCTCTGGGGATAGACCCAGAGATGCAATTTTGCCTACTATCTCTCTTTGCCAACTGGATTGAAAGTTATCCTTCATAATGAGATGTGCAAGGCCCAGAGGAGAGGGTGATAGTCTGAGCCAGTAATTCAACATTACCACGCAAACCCTGGCCTCGACTTGGTGGCATTGGAGACACACCTTGGTACCTGGACAGCTGATCTTAAGAATTTGGATTGAACAGTCTCCAGTGGGGTGAAGTCAGAAAAAGGATCAATCCGGGAACTGCAAAGAAGTTGGGCCATTGACCAATCCATAGACCACAACTGGAATATTTTGTCCAATTTTGGGCACCACAATTCAAGAGAGATATTGACAAGCTGGAATGTTTCCAGAGGAGGGCGACGAAAATGATCAAGGGTCTGGAGAACAAGCCCTATGAGGAGCAGCTTAAGGAGCTGGGCATGTTTGTTTTCTGCTTCCTTGGAGACTAGGATGCGGAACAATGGCTTCAAACTACAAGAGAGGAGATTCCATCTGAACATGAGGAAGAACTTCCTGACTGTGAGAGCTGTTCAGCAGTGGAACTCTCTGCCTCGGAGCGTGGTGGAGGCTCCTTCTTTGGAAGCTTTTAAACAGAGGCTGGATGCCCATCTGTCAGGGGTGATTTGAATGCAATATTCCTGCTTCTTGGCAGAATGGGGTTGGACTGGATGATGGCCCATGAGGTCTCTTCCAACTCTTTGATTCTATGACCTCCCAGAAATCCCAGCCTGTTTACGAGCTGTTAGGATTTCTGGGAGTTGAAGGCTAAAAACATCTGGGTACTCCAGGTTGAGAACCATTGATGTAGGAAAATTCAGTCAAATAGCACGGTAGCCAATGGCTATTTCAACTTGTTGCATTCCAGCTTTCTTGGGACACGTGCACACACAACACATCACTTTGAAAGGTGCAGCATAAACCTTCCACAAAAAGCTTTCCATTCTAACCAGTCAACCAACTTGGCTGTCCATGTGAATGACAGCCATCAATGGGTCATCCCATGTGACAGCCTCTCTCCTCCCCCCAGGGGAGGAACACACCCATTAATTAAAACCCAGTAGCTCGTTAATATTCAAGGCACACTCCAGACTAGCAACAAACCGCTTGTTCGTCACTGAAGGCTGCCCTAGAAACACCAGGGGCTCTGGGGCTGCAACTAATTGGCAAATTGTGCCTGCATCAGAATGAATTTTCTTGGTATTCAGGCTGGTTCTCTGATCTGGGAAAGGAAATTCAAAAGCAGAAGCAAAGCTCTGTGGAATGTCCTTCACATCTATAGACCGAGGTTTTGTAAAGTTCCTTTCTCTCTGTTTTGAACTACAACTCTCAGAAAGCCCTATATGACAATTCTGGAACTCTAGCCCAGAAAATAAGTTTAAAAGTGCTGTTGTGGATTGTATTATTTTTGTCACTTATTCTTGCAGGCAGAAACCGATCGTTTCCAGCCAGCAGAACAGGACAATGCTTAAAATCTATATAAATAAAAATTTAGTGTTTGTTTGTGGGGTTAACATAACTCAAAAACCACTGGATGAATTGACACCAAATTTGGACACAAGACACCTAACAACCCAATGTATGTCCTTCACTCAAAGAAATTGATTTTGTCATTTGGGAGTTGTAGTTGCTGGGATTTATAGTTCACCTACAATCAAAGAGCATTCTGAACCCCACCAATGATGGAATTCAAGCAAACTTGGCACACAGTTCTCCCATGACCAACAGAAAATACTGGAAGGGTTTGGTGGGCAGTGTCCTTTGGTTTTGGAGTTGTAGTTCACCTACATCCAGAGATCACTGTGGACTCAAACAATGATGGCTCTGGACCAAACTCTACACGAATACTCAATATGCTCAAACGTGAACACTGGTGGAGTTTGGGGAAAACAGAATCTTGACATTTGGGAGTTGTAGCTGCTGGGATTTATAGTTCACCTACAATCACAGAGCATTCTGAACCCCACCAATGATAGAATTGGGCCAAACCTCCCACACAGAACCCCCATGTGGGTCACAGCAATGCGTGGCAGGGGACAGCTAGTCTATATAAATAAAAATGTATTGTTTGTTTGTGGGATTAACATAACTCAAAAACCACTGGACGAATTGACACCAAATTAGGACACAAGATACCTATCAGGCTAACAAGTGACCGTTGCTCATAAAAACATTGGAAAACACAGCAGAAGAGACATAGAATCATAGAATCAAAGAGTTGGAAGAGACCTCATGGGCCATCCAGTCCAACCCCATTCTGCCAAGAAGCAGGAATATTGCATTCAAATCACCCCTGACAGATGGCCATCCAGCCTCTGTTTAAAAGCTTCCAAAGAAGGAGCCTCCACCACACTCTGGGGCAGAGAGTTCCACTGCTGAACGGCTCTCACAGTCAGGAAGTTCTTCCTCATGTTCAGGTGGAATCTCCTCTCTTGTAGTTTGAAAGCGAAAAAGCGAAAAATAAAAATACATTACAACACATGTGCATAACCACATATATACACAAATACACAAATACACAGACTGGACCACAGCAACACGTGGCAGGGGATGGCTAGTCTATATAAATGTAATGTTTGTTTGTGGGATTAACATAACTCAAAAACCACTGGACGAATTGACACCAAATTTGGACACAATACACCTATCAGGCCAATGAGTGACCATCACTCATAAAAACACTGAAGAACACAGCAGAAGAGACTTAAAAAACCAAAACATAAAAATACATTACAACACATGCACAAAACCACATATATATTACACAAATACACATATACACAAATATATACACACACAAAACACATATACACAGACTGGGCCACAACAACACGTGGCAGGGGACGGCTAGTTTGGTAATAAGACAAAAATGTGCACCAAGCTGGGACAGTCCTGGACAGTCCTCGTCCCTCTGCATGGCAGCTTGCCACCAGGGAAGGGAACCTGCGAGGTTTTAAAACTAACAGGGAAGGGAAATTGTGAGATTTCAAAACTGTTTGCTTAGGCTGACTTTTTTCAAAGTTACTTTATGGTTCTGGAGGGAGGGGCACCTTCCATTAATGAAGCAAACGAAGCGATTCAGATTTCCCGCTATTTCCAATCTTTTTCTCAAGAAAATTTCAGAAATCATTTTAAAATCGAATCGCCAGCACCCCCTATATACGAAACGAGTTTAGAACCATTTTTTTTCTTGATTGCCCAAGCCTACTATCTATCTATCTATCTATCTATCTATCTATCTATCTATCTATCTATCTATCTATCTCAGGCATGAGTAAACTTGGACCCTCCAGGACTGCAACTCCCACAATTCCTAACAGCCGGTAGAAATTTATGAACTGCTGGACTGCTGACATGACCAGAGACAATGAGTAACATTTGTGTTGAAAACAACATGTTTACATAGTCATAGAATCATAGAATCAAAGAGTTGGAAGAGACCTCATGGGCCATCCAGTTCAACCCCCTGCCAAGAAGCAGGAATATTGCATTCAAATCACCCCTGACAGATGGCCATCCAGCCTCTGTTTAAAAGCTTCCAAAGAAGGAGCCTCCACCACACTCCTAGGCAGAGAGTTCCACTGCTGAATGGCTCTCACAGTCAGGAAGTTCTTCCTCATGTTCAGATGGAATCTCCTCTCTTGTAGTTTGAAGCCATTGTTCGCGTCCTAGTCTCCAGGGAAGCAGAAAACAAGCTTGCTCCCTCCTCCCTGTGGCTTCCTCTCACATATTTATACATGGCTATCATATCCCCTCTCAGCCTTCTCTTCTTCAGGCTAAACATGCCCAGCTCCTTAAGCCGCTCCTCATAGGGCTTGTTCTCCAGACCTTTTATCATTTTAGTCACTCTCCTCTGGACACATTCCAGCTT